GCGGCAGAGGCCAGCCGCGAAGGCGCGCAATTCCGACGCCGCGGTGCCGTGCGACCGTTGCAGCCCGCGTGCCACCAGGAGGAGAACGCGATATTGTTCAACCGGCCACGAAGAGACTACCTACATTCCGAGCATCGAGATACCACGGTTAAATGGTGTAAGTCCTGTCCCTCACGACGGGCTCCTGACGATGGCCTCTCTTCCAGCTTTTCTTTTTCCCTCTTTCCATATCCTGTTGTTATTTGAAAACGTAGTTTACCTGGCTATAGCATTTCTTTTATATCTACTTGTTCTATACGTACTGGTGTATCACGCGTAAAGGTGTTATATCGCCCCGTTCTATTCTAAATTCGTCGAATTACAAAAGGTTCTGTCATAGCCGAGAAGAGAAGCCATCGGTTGAACGCGGAGCTGTGCCACTTTCACGGTAATTCAATCTCGAAGAGAATAACGTGTAACGAAGACACCTACGCGAATTATTATCAACGAACGATTTGACTCGGGAACGTATCTTGTTGGTATACCGACGCCAATTTTCCAGCGTAACAATCGAAAGATTCGATTACCGTGATATAGGGACAGTCTCCATGGAGCCTACCAACAGATCTGTGCGTTTCTTTCATCAAGCTTCGAAACACGTAAGAACGCACGGAAGAGAAAACGCGAGAAGCCACGAACGCGAGAAGGGAGTATCGCAAATTGGCAAGTGCTTGCGCGAGAATTGTCCCTTGATTATCCTTTCGTATATCTTTTGTACCTCGTTTTCATGCGTTTTTTTTTTCTTCTTTGTATCTTTGTCTGTCTCTCTGATAATACTAGATTCGAATATACGTTCTGTTGTACATGGAGTAAATTTATTTATTTATTCGTCTCTGTACGTGAATACGTAAATACTGTATGTTCTGCATTTTGGCACGGTCCAATGTATCTTGCTACTACTAGCGAAACGAGCACCGCGCGTTTAATCACAACTGGCGCGGAGCTCTCAGTCACGCACGCTTACATTCGCAGTAATCGCTTCGACATACGCGCCCTTGTGTAGGGGCGCGTGTATAAAACTTGGTTGCATGCCTCGTATTTCTGTTAAACGATCGTAATACGATCGAACGCGACGACGACGTCACTTCAAATTCGTCGTCGTACAGTCGAACGCCTCTAGCCAACGTTTGTTCGCTGCCTCGTCGACATCGATCGTTTTGCCGTGCATGTTCGAATTTGTCGAATCACCCGTTCCAAGTCGAACAAACGAACAGTCGTGAAGGGAATCTAAGAACAGCGCCGCGCTTGGTACTTTATATCGATACCAGAAAGGATAACGAAACGTTTTGAAATTGGAAGAGGAAGGAATACCATTTTCTAAATTATTTCTATTTTCGTTATTTCTTTATTCGAAATTATCTTTTCCCTGTGTGGTACAAGAAGGAACATTCGGTTTTAATAGGAAAATTCTCCGGGCCATTGGGATATCGATACGATACCATAGCGTTAAGTAACTCGTAAAATTTGATTTCGCAAAGTTGCTTGCCGTTACAGTACGGCGAATATCGGCTCTTCAACACGATAGAATAGAGTGTTCGTTAAACAGCTATCGGAAAGGAACGTGGCCGACGCGAAACCATTCGCCGCGCTCGAAAGCTCACGTGAATGGTGCTTCTGATCGTGTCGGAAGTGATTTTTCCGAGCTACGTCACATTTTCCAAGCTCGTTTCCACGTAGCCAGCCAGCAGGTCCTCGGAATATCTCGAAATGTGCGTAACCACGACTACGGAGAGAACACCGATCATCAATATTCTGTTAGAAAAAATAACAAACTAAACGAAAATTATCAAACTCGTTTCCCTCGTATCTCTGCTGTCGAACGAATTCCACGGGCACGGACGAAAATTTTCTCTGCTACCTGGCTTAAGTCTCGAAAAGTTGTGTAACAGTGATTATTGAATTTAATTTGCAATGTTCAATTGGAAATTAATTGTAGAACAATCGTAACCGGTTTCGTTATGTCGAGTTTAAAATGAAGTAAAATGTCCCGTACTTGATAGAAATCAAATTCGAGATAGATTTTCACTTCGAGATCCGCTATTCAGACTAGAGTTTAATTGCAATTTAAACGAGACAGGATCAGCGGCTGGGTAGAATTTCGCTGGAAAATTCCACGGTTTAAAACTATGATCCAATCGGATTTCCAGTTTTGTAGGTTTCAGCGAGAACGAAAGGAAAGCTTCGGTCTCGAATTCCGAATTCCACTTTCGATACTTTAATCAGCGACACGATGCTTATCGATACGGCAGAATCCACGAAGAATATTTATTGCAATGCTTTAAACCTCTCGGAACTTCGCTGACGATCTTGTTTTTCTATCGTCTCATCCGTTGATTCGTTTTGATAAAAACAAACGAGTTTCCCGTCATTCCATGAGGGATGGGTGTAGATCAATGTTTCTCAATAGACATTGTACGATTTGTCTAGGCGAAGAATGATTAGAAACTGTACTCTGTACTTAGAAACTCTGCTTTATTCGTGTAGTTGAACTATTCCACTTCTATGTGTAGTAAACAATTTTTCTAAAGATCTAAAGAGATTTTAGGAGTACCGCTTTCAGTTCGAAAGCTCGAAAACAACCTTCAAGAGCTTAAGTAAAAAATTTGATGTCAATCTATTTTGTTCTACGTTGTTTTTTAGCTATTCGCGTAGTTTAATTACACCGTGTATCCAATAAAAAAATTTTCTAGACTTTCGAAGAGATTGAAAATCGGTGTTTCCAAGTCGAAAGTACCGGAATAGTGTCCAAAAATTCAAACCGAAAAATTTAGTGTCAAACCGTTCTATTTGCAGGCTTACTCTCTCGAACAAAACCGAAACGTTCGGAACACAACGCTTCCGCGCGGAAACGCGGACCTCGCTTCCACCAAACTAGCGGTCTGCGTTTCGCACGGTTCATTCCCTCGTTCCGCAACAACATCGCTTTTTCTCTGGAACGGAGGAAAAAAAGAAAATGAATCTATCGTATATGCGACTACAGTTTCAGGAAAGTCCCTCTCGCCTTTGCTCACCGATATTTTATTGAATTTCGATCCTCGCAAACGTATACATATTTTTATCACAAATAAGTTCTTTTTTCGGGAAATCGCAGCTGGACGTTGGTCGTTCGAATCGATACGAGGCAGATTCCGTAAATCTCGGGAAAATTGAAGCGTCAGCCGATCTAGAGAAAAATAGAAAAAGAGCATGCACGGTAACGAATCTAGAGACGATTGCAGTAGAGACTCGTTGGAACGAGGCGAGGACGAGACCATAACGCGTAACGATTTCGATACGTAGGCCCACGCGAGGCGGAGAAAATTCCTTTAGGAGCTTGGAAAAAGTTATAGCAAGTTTTAACGAGACCTGGCAACTTTTAATAACTCGCTCGCTCGCAGCTACGAGACGTAGAGAGGCCTCGGGGTGACCGAAAAGGATTACCCGCGACCAATCACCACCCCGATATAGCTAACACCCTTTGCTTCCTCTTTTCTCAGCAGGAGGGTGGTGCGTTGTCGATGACGGAGATGAAGAAATCATTGAGCTTCGATCAAGTGGGAGCGGCCCGTGGCGGGAACACCTAGCACAGGCCTCATCCTCATCTTCATCCTCAGCAGCAGCAACAGCAACAACAGCAACCACCACCGTGCAAAGCCACGCCCACGCACACACGTCACACACACTGCCACTCACATTCACACAGCCACAGTCACAGTCATACGCACAAGCACCAACCACCCCCACCGAGGCAGAGACGGGGCTCTTCAAGCATCGTCTTGGGTCAAGGTTAGTTGCTTCCAGATGATTCCCTACGCGCGATACGAGTACCCGCACGAGTTCAAAAGAACTAAAATCATTTTTTTTTTTTTTTTTTTTTTTT